TGGCTAGATTTGGGCTTCCAAAAAGTGCTTAACTAGATGAATGTGATCACTAATCAATGACATGGTGTTTTAAGATACTCAGAACCAAAATAATTCTATTACATTTTAAAAACCTTGTCAAAAGCTCTTTAGCATATTTTTACATAATAATAGTATTATCTCTGAAAAAATATTACTGACACTTTCTAATAACTGGATCCTTTTCTCTAGTGAAGAACTGGTGGCCGAAGCACACAGTCTCTGCACCCAGCTAGAAAGTGCAATGCAAGACACCATGAAAGAACAGGACCAGAGTTTACGGGTAATGGCCTATCCCATGTCCTTGCTACAGCAGACGAGAAAAGGAAAACAGAAAGGCAATCCAGTGGTTCCTCAATCGCAGTATACACTTGTGATTTTCTAGTACATTGACCCTTAAACAACACAGGGATTAGGGATGCCAACTCCCTGCACAGTTGAAAATCTACATATAACTTTTGACTCCCCCAAAACTTAACTACAAATAGCCTACTGTTGACCTGAAGCCTTACTGATAACATAAACAGTTGATTAACACATATTTTGTATATGTATTACATACTATATTTTTACAATAAAGTAAGCTAGAGAAAATAAAATGTTACTAAGAAAATCATAAAGATAAGATACATTTATTGTATTTATTGGAAAAAATCCGTGTATAAGTGGACCTGCGTAGTTTAAACCGTGTTCAAGGGTCAACTGTACATATTTATTGTTATTCATCATTATAATAATGCTAACAGTTATTGAATGGGAACAGTACTTTATGTGCATTGTCTCATTTAATCCTTTTAATACTTGATCTTTATGAAGAAGGTAACATTAATTTGAGAAGGGCCCCCCCGCACCTCCGTCAACTTTTGTCCCATTGTTGAACATTTGTGTGTTGTGGGTGTTGTGCTGAACTTCAGGGATAAAGCAAGAACCTGTCATGGCCCCACTTCTCAGGGACTCAGAGCTTAGCAGTAGGTAGCACTAGTTATAGGGCAGGTAACAACCTAAAGAAAAACTAGTCAAGATATAGGTACATTAAGACAAAACTAACATTGCTTCAAGGATCCTAAATCATTCCCTCCGATCTTTAAATGCCCTTTTCCTGCCAGTACAATCACCTACTAGCCTCCCTCTAACGTCTTAGTTTTCGGAATAATCAGAGGGGACACCATTAATTGTAATGATCTGGTATTTATTTAAGTGTTCTCTGGTTTAGGGGCTTTCTCTATCTGTTGTTGCTACTGTTCCTCCTCCTGAGACTGTATATTTAATCCTTTCACTGCTAATTTGCATTTCTGCCAGAGGAAAAGGAAGTCTTATTAGAGCATTTCATTTGGTGAGGTTGGAAATCAGTAGCTGAGATTTGCTCTGCTCCTAGATTATGCTGTACTCAGCCAGTATACTCCTATGCTCCTATGCTATACTCCTAGGGCCTTTGCATGTGCTTTTGCTCCACCTACCCACAGTGGGCATAAATAAGCACTGTGAGTACAAGTAATTCTAAAATTGCTTTTCTCCTGTCCGTAGTCCAGGAATCTCAGGGACTCCTAGCCAGTCCAAAGAAAAGATTCTGTATGGTTTTGAATATGTTTCTTTAGCTCATGGGTACCCTGCAATAACTATTATTAAATTTCCTTCTCAACTGTGCTGGTTGCCTCCTGGAAAAACAACAACTGAGGTGTATTTTTAACCTGCCTGTTGACTTTCAGTCTCTAGACTGGAGCTGGTTACAGACGGAGGAAGAAGAGCAGAATAGCTGGGAGCAGGCCTCCTGACTGTGTGGGTGGCCTTGACCACCCGATGGGGCTGCCTGGCCTGAGGCTCTCCCACAGGTATGTGCCCTGCTATACTGATGTCCCAGCGGTCTTCGGCACCCAGATGGAGATCTTCTTACTTCCCCAACCGGTGTGGCATTGACCGTGGACCAAGGGTGTGGCACTGCCAGCAGCTCGTCAGGACACTGGAAGTCCTCCATCACAGAGGCCCAGCAAGCATGGATGCCAGGCAGGAGCATTAGGGAGACTAAACCACAGAGGCTCCCTCCTCTGCTCCGAAAAAAGTGCTCAAATACTGTTGCACCACAGACCACTGGACAAATGTCTAACATGAGTATTTCAGGGCAAAGTATGAACAGCCCTTGATGCCAGCCTATCCTCTCCTGACCCCTCCTGATCTTCAGAGGCCCTGACCCACATGTCCTCACAGTCAATGTTTCATTGGATTTGGTTTCTCTTGAATAGACTCTTAAGTCATGGACTTGGCCTGGTCCCATCCTCTCTCTTCCTCTTTTCATTTCACTGCTGCTAAAACCGTCTTTTTACCTACACTGTGGTGGTTATCCTCCCTTCGGCTCCCACGTCTGTAGTCCTTTAAGCCACTAGAGCCAGGATGGAAGAGAAACTCCCTTTGGGTCCCAAAGATTACTTGGGAGTGAGTTCTCATGGAGAAGGAGGAGAGAAGAAAAGGTTACTTGTTAACCATTGGCCTGCTGAACACAATGCTCACACCTCTGTCCTTGCCCGGACACATCTGTGTGTGGTGGAGGTGGGACAGGGAGTTCCTGCCTCTCATATCATCTAGCAGTATTATTAAATTGATTTATTTAAAAAATCGTTTCTAGATCTTGTGAAATGACTCAACACTTATACTGGGTTCCACAATCCTTTGCTTAGAACTTATGAACTTGTAATCAACCAATGGAATAGTACCTGGATCAAACAGTGCCATAGCAGTAGCACTGCCTCTTTGACATTTCATAAAATTTCACCTTTATATAAAAGCAGGAAAGAAAATGAGTTCAGATGATCACAGAAATGAGTTTGGTTGGAGAAGAAAGTTAGAATAAAAGAGTTTCACTAAGTGGCTTTCATGGGAATAGTACAGAAGGGTTTCATGGTCAAGTTTAGTTTTGGAAGTGCTTCATGCTTTGCCTCTGGGATCCACATTGCACACTGGTATATTAAAGTAAGCAGGTCTTTGAATAACGTTTTATTCAATGTCATTTCACTATAATGTTGATGAGATACTATAGGAACTTAACTCTTGATTATATCAATTAGCCTATGGTAAAATTGGTTTGGTTATACATTATTTTGCTTTAAGTTGTAGAACCCATTGACGATATTTTGTTAGTATGATGATTTGTTGAAATATTGACATATCTTAGGGTGACCAACTTATCTTGGTTTGCTGAGAACTTTCCTGGTTTTAGCCCAGAAAGTTCTGAATCCCAGTAAACTTCTCAGTCCCTGTCAACCCAGGATGATTAACCATCCTACATCATGATGTGTCCATATCCTGTGTAATTCGAAGTATTTGACACTTTACTTTAGCAAAATTGCAATTAGGACACTCAACAAGTACCTATTGAGCACCTCTATGTAGCAAACAAGAATTAACTATTTACTTTCATGGAGGTTACATTGGTGGGAAAAGGGGTAGGGTAAGGAGTCAGTAATAGGCAAGCAACACATGTAAGTTTCAAATAGTTTCAGTGCTATGAAGAAAATAAAGCAGTAATGCATAGAGTACATAGTGTTATTCAGGAATGTGACAAGGAGGTGACTACTGGTCTAAGATTTGAATGATGAGAAGAAGGCAGCCAGGCAAAGGCCTGAACAATGAGAGAAGAGCCTTGAAGCAGGTACATCTGTGTAGTAAACAAAGGGAAATGTGGGAAGTAGGAGAGATGGTAGAAGATAGATCACATTAGGCCATGGAAAGGAGTGTGGGGTTTTTAAAAAATTGGTTGTAGAGAAAGGGAGATAGATGGAGAAACACTGATGTGAGAGAAACATCGATCAGTTATTTCCTGCACATGCCCCAACTGGGGATCAAACCTGTAACCTGGGTATGTGCTTTGAACTGCCACCTTTTGGTGTACGGGATGATGCTCCAACCAACTGAGCCACACTGGCCAGGGAAGGAGTGTGGATTTTATTCTAAGTGCAATGAGAAGGTATTTAAGAAAATGAATGATATAGTCTGATACACATTTTTTAAAAAGAATCACTCTTGTCCTATTTGGAGGGAACAAGAACAAAAGCAAGAAGCCCATTGAGGAGGCTACAGCAGTAATTGGGGATCGAGATCATAGTAGAGTGCACTAGGGTAGTGGCAGTAGAGGTGGTGAGAGGTAATCCAGTTGAGAATATATATGCTAGAGACAGATCAGACAAAACTTGCTGACAGATTGGATGTGGGGTGGGAAAAGCACAATTAAGAATGACTCCTAGGGTTTTTGCCTGATGGCAGGGTAGATTAAAGTGTCATTAACTAAAAAGGCAACCAACTGAATGAGAGATAATATTTGCAAACAATAGCTCTGACTAGGGGTTAATATCGAAAATATATAAAGAACTCAAAAAACTCAACACCAAACAAATAATCCAATTAAAAAATGGGCAGAGGACCTCAACAGACACTTCTCCCAAGAAGACATACAAATGCCCAAAAGATATATGAAGAGATGTTTAACTTCACTAGCTATTAGGAAAATGCAAATCAAAACTACAATGAGGTAACTACCACCCACCACCTGTTAGAATGGCCATTCTCATCAAGACAAGTAATAAGTGTTGGAGAGGTTGTGGAGAAAAAGGAGCCCTCAGTCACTGCTGGTGGGAATGTAAATCGATACAGCCACTATGGAAAACAGTATGGCAGTTCCTTTAAAAATTAAAAATAGAGCTACCATATGATCCAGCAATACCTTTTCTGGATTTATACCCGAAAAACTCGAAAACATTTATTTGCAAAGATATATGCACCCCTATGTTCATTGTAGCACTATTCACAGTGGTCAAATATGGAAACAATCAGTGTCCTTCAATAGATGATAAAGAAGGTGTGGTACATATATACTATGGAATACTGCTCAGCCATAAGATGAAAAACTATCATTTGTGACAACATGGACTTTTGAGGATATTATGCTTAGCAAAATAAGTCAGAAAAAGCTAAGAGCCACATGATTTCACTTATATGTGGGATATAAAACTGAAACTCATAGACAATGGTATGATGGTTACCAGAGGAAAGGGGGTAGGCAGATATTATAGAGCAAAGGGGCCAAATATATAGTGTTGGATTATGATTTGACTTGGGGTGGTGGACACACAATGCAATATACAGATCATGTATCATAGAACTTTACACTTGAAATCGATGTCATCCCAATAAATTTTTTAAAAAGTGTCAACTTGAGAAGGAGAAAAGTTAAGGAGAAGCTAAAGGGGCAAGAATCAAGAATTCTATAGGACATTTTATCTTTGAGATGCCTATGATGGACAACTAGAGATAACCAGTAGGCAGTCTGATATATGGGATTCGAGTTCAAGAGAGATGGCTAGAAATACAAATTTAGGAATCTTCAAGCTAGACATGGTATTTTAAAAGGTGAAACTGGACAAGGTGGGGAATCTGGCTAGAAGATCGAAGCCTGAGTTACTTTTCCATTTAGGCTGGAGAGTGGAGGAGGAGCTGGGAACCAACACACAAAAACCAACAAACTTGAGGAGTGGCTACTACAGAAGAAGAAGGAAGAAGGAAAACGCAGAGCATGCACTATTTTAGAAGCCAACTGAAAAACTATTTCAAGAAGCAAGTGGTTAAGTGGGTCAAATGTTAATGGTTGGTCCAAGAGGATGAGGACAGAAAATTGATCATTTCCCCTGATATTCTGGCACTGATTTTCTTTTAAGTTGGCATAATACTCATATTTTAAAAAATGGTCCCACAATTCCCTAAAGTTGTAATGTTCATTATTCAGAGGTGAATAAAAACTTTATTTAAAGAAGAATGATAATTCTTCAGAAAAAAAAATAATATGAATATAGCCTGGAATAAAGATGGATAGGAAAAATGAACAGAAAAAAACTAATATGACTCATCCTCCCCCCCAAAAAATCTTTAAATATTTTATTAAAGAACAGCTACTTTAGAAACTAAAGACACTCAAGCACTAGTCTACTCATGGAGTTTCTATACAACTAAAGAAGTTGACATCAAATGGACAAAAAAATAGTACAGAAGATCCATGTATTTTTAAAATTCATTTCTAGAAAGTAGGTCAGATGGACTCAAAGACCTCACTGAATGTAGGGAGCAACAGAAGGCTTTTTGCTGGGGCATAAAGGTAGGAACCAGTCCATGCAGTCAAGAAAAAGTTCTTTCGCCTCCTGGTCTAAATGCTTGCCTTTAGTCTGGGTTCAGAGAAAAGTCCTAATCATTTGAACTGGTTATCAATCAAAGTCCCCTTCATTTTGGCTTTGTTGGCTTCTAGTTCCGCCAGCTCTTGCAGCCGCCTTTTGCTCATGCCTCTGCGCTCCAGCTGTTTTTCAATCACTTTGGCATTCTGTGCATATGAGTCAGCAATCTCCCTGGCCTCAATCTCCTCTTCCTCTTCATCAATAGTAGACACAGTGACAGAGCTGAACTTGCCCATGTCTTTAGTCCGTTTGGTCATCATCACCTTCTTAGGAGGTTCTCGCTTCTGAGTATATATATTCATTTTCCCAAAGCCCTGGCCAAACTTGACTACTGCTCCATCCACAATAAAGGTCACAGGAGCATTCTTTGGCTGGGACTGGTAGAAGAGTGGCAGTCCGCACTTTGCACACTTCTTTCTGTACTGTCGTTCAATGCCTTCAGGCCTGCGAAGATACATAGTCTCCTGGTCTTCTGTGTTACAAAACTTGTGGGCGTGTTTGGCAGCATCAATCACCCGGGACTGATCCCGGGGCCTCATGGGCAATTTCTCCAACTGACAGTCAAGCACCAGAACCATCTGGCCACACAAACAGTAGTAGATGTGGAGGGGCTTCTCGCCGTCCTCATATTCCTCCCGGTCTCGGGTGTAGGAGCAGACAACTGACCGGGACACAACTTTAGGCATAATTCACAGGAGATGTCCACAAATGCAATGCCAAAAATAAGGGTTATGCAGAAAACAAGGTGACTCACTTCTAATTGAAGGTGGGAATCAAAGTAGTAAGAAGCTTCAGAATAAAGTTAAAAGGCAAGGGATTAAGGGCAAATACAAATATTTACAAAAACCATACAAAACTGTGCAAAACGGTTAGTAGTAATATATTAAAAATCTAGCACATTAACAATAGACAACTACCTTATTAGAAAAATGAACAAAGGATATAAATAGGAAATTCACAAAAGAAGAAATACAAATGTCCAATAAGTATAACTTAAGATGTACACTGATATTGTAAAAACAAAACAAAACACCTACACAACCTAATCAAGGAAATATATCTAAAGCATTCCATTATTAAAAAATGGGAATTTTTAAAGAACTAGATTAGAAGATTTGAAAATATATGTCAGTAAAGATAAATGGTGAGATGTTCACTGATTTTTTCTTTTCTCCTTTTATACTTTTTTTCTACAGCCATGTATCATTTTGTAATAAGCTTTTAATTTTATTTACAAAGCAATTGCCTGGAATTTGGCAGTATGAACCCCAGGAGTTAACACTTGTAAAATATTGCTGATGTCACATTTTCATTTCTCAAGCAGAACTATCAATTTCTCAGATGCAGGTCATCATGTTGTAATGGCAGTTTCATTGCTCATTAGGTTGAGCACTTCTCCCATTCTAGTGTTTTGTGTGTGTTTTTTCCCCCACCTTAGCCCCTACCGCGAAAGGCAGGGGAATAAAAAATAAAACGTCTTTTGACATTGGTTGGCGTATCTGTTAAAAAGTCTCATAAATGAGGCTTTTCTGTTATCGGCATGTTTCATTCGGGCTCCTGCTTCACCCAGTACAGGAGAACCCATTGCAGTGTGGGCTGCACTGTATTCCATTCTTACAGAAAGTTTTGACAGTATTACCCTGGTGTTGTTGCCTCATCACATATAAAGTGCATCGTGAATTCAATAGCTATTATTGTGCACACATAAAATGTGCACAGAGAACTCAGCATTCTATCTCCCATCCAACCACCTTAGACTGTCTACCCCACCATCTTAAGTTTTGACTTCAGAGTGAAAAATGGGGCTCCTATATTTCCCCTTTGAGGGAGAGCGTTTCAGAGATACGTACTGAGAAAACAGATACGTCTCAGGTTAGGAATCCAGGTCTTCCCGCAGGAACCCCATTGGGATGTAATTCCGGGGTGTCCGCTGCCCTCCTGCCAAATCCAGGTTTCAGTTCCCCGCCTCCCTACCGGCTCTCAGTCTCGCACGCAGAGGTAGCGCTGTCCTAGCCCCGCCC